TGAGATGATGTAGAAGGTTGAATTATGTAGAATGTCAGATGATGTAGAAGTTAAATGATGTAGAAGGTTGAATGATGTAGAATGCCACAATGTAGAAGGTAAGAGGATGTAGAAGGTTAGAGGATGTAGTAGGTAATGATGTAGTTGCAGAATGTCAGATGATGTAGAATGTAAGATAATGTAGAAGCTTAGATGATGTAGTAGTGGTTAGATAACACAGTGGTTTAGATGATGTAGTTATAGTTAGGATAATATTGTTTTAATATGATAAATGTATATATAACATGTTCAAACTACAAAGTCAAACAGAATTTTCTAGAAAAAAGACTTACTCTTTGTACCAATGGTATTGGTCAGGACTACAGAAGTAGCACATCATATAGTTGATATGGTTACGACAATCTTTGCTTGCCATATACAGTGGGAGCATATTGGAGAACACAGAGGTTACTTCAGTCCTTTTACAGCATGCATTGTGTGAGTACCAGGAGCAGTTTACCAATCCACCTTCAGCTTTCGCTACTCGAGTGTTTCCTGAAATCAAAATAACTGGAGAATTATTTAACTCTTAACTTACTTAAGACTTTAAGTATTATAGTTATGTAGTTTTCTTTTTTTAACTGCATACTTATGGATTGACCCTCAGATGTGGTTTATTATTGATCCCACAGCTGTTATAAAAGCCGTGATCAATTGAAACTTTAAGACTTTTACCTTACTTGGAATCAATTAAGTTATTGGGTAACTTATTAATTAGCATCACCAATTAAATGGTAGTCCCGTACATACTAACATATACTGTACATAATGATTGTTTGTTAATTAAACCACAAAGAAACACTTGTATTTCTTGAATAATTAAAATAAATTCATTATTTCGATCAGTTGCCAATTGATTTTCTTTAATGTAAACTTGCCTTGCTAATATCATAATCAATATTAATAGCCTGTAATTTTTGCATTTATTGACAAAGAATATGAATTAAAGCTTACCAAAATATGTGCACGGTTTTGTATCTTCATGGTATTCAATAACAGCATCTTTGCTTATAACGCAAGGTATCAAAACAATTATAAATAACAAAAAATATATAAAAGTGTCCCAGCCTCCCATATTTGTTACTATCGATTTTCACATTTTTCGGTTATTTCCGTCAAACTACGCTTATATTATCCGGAGGTTGACGGAAATGGCCGAACAACAAAAAGCCGGAAGTAAATTTGACACGTGACACATTCAAAATGGCAGCCTCCATCAAGAAACAGATGTGGAGAAAATTCAAGAGGAATTTAAACCCATCAACTTTCTTTCGCTTCCTTTTTGACCCAAATTTATGTGTTCCTGTTATGATTTTGCTGTTCTTAGCTGAATGCTTCGTGTCAATATTTGTTATCAATAAGATAAAATGTAAGAAACGTTCCGAAATCATTTTTATTTTCTGCAAGTTTACAGTAAAGGGAGACAACCAGTACATATATGTCTTAAGCAAATCGTCCAAATACCTCTTTTAAAAGTCTTGAAAAGGCTGTTTGGGCATCAGGAAGATTTAAGTCTATGGCCGAAAAAGAAAACTAAAATCAATGAAAATTATGTCAAGAAAATTTCACTTGTAACAGCATGTGTTTGTTATTGTGTTTAAATAAATTTGAATATATGCTACTGTTTAGGTGACCAAAAGTTTGCAAACAAAAACATACATGATTTGAACGATTTCCAGTTATTTCGACCCCAAGACGCATCGGCCCCAAATTACCCAAGACGTTGCGGCCCGGATGTTTCGGCCCTTTACCAAATTGGCCCCATATTTAGTTAAGAATAAGTCTTACCTTTACGTGTTTATACCAGAATTTTAATAGTATTTCAATAAATGAATGAATAAAAGGAATGAGAGAATTTAAATTGAATAATTAAATTATGATTGAATAGTAGTAATCTAAACAAACAGAACATAAACTTTATTAAACAAAAGATACACTGAAACAGATTTGTATCTGCTTATTATCAACAAGCATTCTTTTTTTTTAATTTGAATGATTAAAAAGCAAGCCACAGAACAATACATGAAACAAATATTTGTAATCAACAACTATTAAATAAATAGTATGTGACAAGTTTCAGCAATGCAAAACATTACATAACAGTTAAAAAAATATACTTTTACTAACAAACAATACATTGTAAACAGAAATTTTTTATAAATAACATTTTTTTTACAATAAAAGTGACATATTTTCAATCAGACCGTAACAATAATAATTCAAAATATCAAGTTAAAAATCTTTGATATTACTAGCCGCTTATTAGCAATAAGCTATAAATAATTAATTTGTTACACCTTGAAAAAACAACAACAACATAAAATTATATCTAAATAGTTTAATAGCTATTTAAGGATAAATAGAGATCAAAAGATCAAGATTTTTGGGGCATAATTGTAATCATTGTCGGATACCCACGATTGATAAACATGTCACATAACATGCAATCGTCGGATACCCACGATTGATAAACATGTCATATAACATGCAATCAACCGTGGGTAAAATGAATCAATTTGCGTCGATATATAGCAACAGGTGCGTAAAATATCTACCAATGACATGGCGTTTAACAAATCTATATTCTTCAACAGCGGAGGTAAAAAACAATAAGAAACAAAATGGCAGCGTCCACGGTTAAAAACTGTTGTACGTGTCTTGCTAAATTCAATTGCAAAAACTATCGCCAAATCAGTTCGTCTGCAAGCAGATATCAATCAGAAAGGAAAACATCACGCTGTAAAAGTAAATTATCTATACTTTCTTGCTGGAAATCGTTAAATTTTTCGATGTTGAACTTTTCACGTCGTCTATGGTTGTCGCAATATTGTCTGTAATACCGAACGTCGTACAAAACGAGGGTTTTGATTGGTTTTAATCGCCTCATGAAATCGTGAGGCAGCCAATGAAAAAGCTGCCTTTGACACACCTCTAATCGACTGAATATCGGCAAAAAATCCCACGGCTGATTAGTGTTAATGGTTCAGACGTGGGTATCCGACGATGAATTGTAATTTACTTTGTTAATCAAAACATTTTTGCAGTTTGTCAACTGTCTTCTAAATTAAGGATGAAGTGTTTTTATTTATTGCTACACCTTTAAAAAAAGCATGTATTAAAATAGATAAATTAAGAGATCGATATACCTATAATGGATTATTAATTAGGCCTAAGGATTAAAGTGTCTTAATTGTTTGTGTGCCATCAATCAATCAATATACTACACTTTTTAACGATTTTAAGTACAAAAATTCCTTTAATACTTTAATAAAACTGTAATAAAAAAGGGCAGAAACGACTCACAGAATAGAGCCGTAATGTCTAGAGGCCGATTTTAGCACAGGGGCTGATTTGGTTTCGGACCGAAACGTCCTGTTTGCATTTGACATGGCATATATTACATATATTATGGATTATATAATCATTGTTACAATTATTATGATAAAGGAGATAATCTATTTCATTTTGTGTTCATTTGCAGTTATATTTATAACCATATAACCATATATTTGATGTTTTTTGTATATCAGCATCTAGCTTAATTAATTCGGCGTAAACAATTCAACCCATTTTACAGACTTTTTTTCATGCTTTCAACAATGGTCAAACCATTTGAAAAAGACATTGCCTGTCCAAAATTATCTTGATATCTCTTTGACAAGTCTAATTAGTTGGACTACTGTGATTTAATTTAGAAAAATCTTTAAACTGGCATAAGGAGGCTTTCCTTATCACTTCAGCAGTAAAAAAAAACTTGAGAGAGTTTATTTTTCATTACAAAAATAGATAAACAAATTATTTAACAGTATACTATGCTCATCCTTTTGTGAAAAATTTTATCATAGCAATTTATTGAAATCTATTAAATTCTTACTGAATTCAACATGTTTAATTTGAACAAAAAATTGAGAAAAAGCAATGTATAAGAAGCTTCGTTCCCTATAACATGTCACGTAAAATTGTTTATAATTTCTTTAAAAAAACTGCCAGTGTTTTAATGACACTATATATTTATATTGTACCCACCAACATGTATAGTGTATAATACTGTATTTATAACAGAGTTTTAAACACAACATAATTTTATATATTCTTTGTGTGAAGTCAAAACATGTTTATTTTATATTTGCAAAGAGACTGTGTAGCAATTATCAATATATTCCAATATCAAATTTGTGCATAGTTTATCTTTAATCAACTGTCATTTCAGACACTGAAATAGACTGGGTTGCCTACATGCAGGAAGTGGAAGGTTTTATAAATGGAACTTATGATTATATGCAGTTAAAAGGGGACACTGGACCTTTAGTGTAAGATTTTTTTATTGACTTATTTTATTTCAGCTTACATTTAAAAGTGTAATACAGCTATATTATCTACTGGCTGAAGAATTTTTAAAAAGAATGACTTCAAAAAAACTTGTATGAAAGAAGTATGTTTGATAACTTCATGTAGAGCAGATTTTTGTGGCAGGAAATCCTTGCGATTAATGGTTAAAACCCAAATGAAATAGCTTGATAATATTTATCACTGGAGTGTAACAAACCCATTTAATAAAAATGATATTACACTAGTATCATAACACGTTGACATGACATCATTTGCCTTTAATATACAAATACAAGTTCAGGTCTACATAATATTATTTGACAGATCAATTTTATATTGGTTTGTTTTGCGGGTATGCCCACTTGTAATTAATTTCAAAAGCACTTTTCTGAAAATGTCAGACGTGGTGAACAGAATCTGATTCAGTTGATTTCAATAAGTAAATTTTTATCTTTTAAAGCAGCATGCCTCAAAATTCATGCTTATTTTCATACAAAACTGTTGAAATTTGAAAATATATTAATTATGTAAAATATTGTGAAATGAGCAAAGAAGGTAATTTAGACATAGCAATTGGCACTATCTTACAATTCACTATAATTACCAAAAAGAGGTCAAAATATGCAAAATGAGCCATAACTGTAAGTAACACAATAGAAATAATGTGATGAATACATCAACATTAGTCATTTCCATAATCGCATATAACATGAAAATTAATTATAACTTGAATGTTGACTCCTTTTACCTTAAATAAAATCTTAGTGCTCTTCTCAGGATTTATTTTCTTGAAAATTTTTATTTAATGTTTAGCTCATCTTTAGGCATGCAACTTTAAAACTTAAATCCTTTTTATATCATTATGTATATTATGTACTGCTTTATGTACTACACTCAAATAGCCATTAACTATACATGTACATGTATTATCTTGTTTGTACAGGTACCCGGCTGGTTTTGTGTATATTTTCACAGTGCTATACTATCTGACAGATCATGGAAAAGACCTCAGGGCAGCACAATTTATATTTGCTGTGCTCTACCTTCTATCGCTCTTGGTCATATTTGATATTTACAGGCGTGTTAAAAAGGTAGGTATTAATTTATGATACATGTAACTTCATGGCACCCTACGTGGAACTTCCCTATGGACCAATAGTCTAAAAACATAAAGTTTGAATTTCTAGCATAGATTATTCAGGGCAATTGAAAGGGAAATATTTGCAAAAGATGATGATTAATACCCCATTATGCCACAGAAATGCTTTTATGTCTATTTTTCAAGCTTTTTATTTTTGATGCCTGGTTATATTGTCCAAAAAGTTCATCATCAGCCAATATTAAATTTTGTTCTGTTGCTTTTTGGCAATAAGTAAAATTATTGTGATTTAGTATTTTGTATGGGAGTCAAAATACTACTTTGTTTTCATTTTGCTACTTTTATGACTAATAATTTCACATTCAGCAAATCGTTCTTCAAGTATAAGCCTGTAACATTCTCTAAAACCATTTTTAAGCATTATAAATTTCATGTTTGTCCTTTCTAAAGAAGAAAATAACTATTTGTTCTGAGGCTAATGTGCCTTTCAACAATACCTTTATACAGAAAGAAATTTTATTCTTTTTTGAGACATAATGTGCCATTAACCTTTTACAGCATGAGCATATTGAGAAAAACGGCCATTTTTACAATATGCTGATGAAGGAAAGGGTTAAAGTGACATTATGTCCATCAAAGAGTCTAAAGAGTGCACAAGCGAATGTGAAAATTAGTTTTCATTTTGCCTTTATTCCTTTTTAATATAAAAATTATTTCACATTAACAATAAACAACGCACAGATTCAAACGAAATTTACATCAATATCCATTAGAGTGTACCTGTAACATTCATTTCATAAAAAGAGTGGGGCAGTCTTTTTATATTTCAGGCAGATTTAAATTTTATCCTAAACATTATCCAATTTGAACTGTTGGTCAATCACCATTTTTACAGTCAATCTTTTGAAATATATAGTCAGTTCAGCTCAACTTGACTATGAAAATATGAGCACATATTGTCACAGAAATAACAGAAATAACTATTTTAGCTTATGTCGATATGTGAAAGTGTGTATCAATATTGTATCGGATGATGA